TCCTTGTGATCTCCCAGATGAAGGTTAGTTTTAAAGTAACCAACAGTTTAATGTTTAACAGTTTGCAAATGACTCATAATTGTATCCTGATTGAGTTACTTGGTGTTTGGTAACGAAGGGCCTACTTTGCATCAGCAACACTGACTCAATGACAAACAAGTCATTCATAAGAAGGCAACTGAAGGCACCTGTATTCATAGCAACTAGTTTCTAACTAATTAATCATTTGATTTTTAATCATAAATATAATAATATATTATCTGTCAGGCAGTCATTCATGCAATGGTATGCAAAATCATGATCCTACTAAACAACTACTTCAATTAGGGTACAATATTCACAAATCAAATATTTATTTATCAATAATTGGACACCTATTTGGAAGTTGAAAACAAACATTTTAGCATTACAGCAATTAATCAATGATCAATATGTTTTGATTCTAAATGTAGCCAGAAACGTAATCAGAAAGTAGCAACAGAACTTGTCAAGGAGTATTAACCCAACTCCAACCACTGAATCTATTGAGAGCCATAGAAGTATAGAGGACACATACACATATACACTTATAATAAGTGCAAGTGCACCAAGCACATCACATTCTATTACTCATTCATCCATGCTTCCTTTTCCACTCCAATGTTCCAATAATTCCTGCCCACTAAAAGCTGCACGGCACGGATATATTTGCTTACCCCGACAGGCCTATCTACAGTATGTAAACGATTTAGAAAAAGTTCAGTCGATTCACACTTTATATCATCACACTGATATGTATTGTCATATCACCCAGCCCTAACATGCAGTAATGCTTTAAACACATTTGACAAGCTAGTTGATAAAAAAACTGCAACCGATTAACTATTAAAACTTATTTCGTGTTAACTAAAGGCAAATCTGTATGATGCACTATTTTAACTTTAATCAACATGTACAATTGACCATGACATCCTCACCTGATCTTATTCCAGAAAAGTCACTCATTCAGTGCTGAATGGAGTTGTACAGGGCTGCGTTTCTCGAAACTTTCTTAACGCTACGTCGTTCGTAAGTTATACCTTAAGTTGTACCTTTACATTAATACGTGTTTCCCGAAACGTTCTTAGTTAAGTATACCTTCTTTATAAATGCAGTGAGCCCCGATAAATGCAATTTCTAATATTTCTAAAGTGTTTCTTTATAATGAACATCACTTTACCCGCTCTATAACGCAGTGAAAGAGCTCCTGTATTGAACAATCGATTCTCGAGCCATCGATATCAACCTATTCAGCACCACCGCCATGGACAGTACCTGCTAACGTCGCACGTAAGAAGGTTTACCTTAAGCAACATCCTAAGGTATAGTTCGGGGAACACGCCTAGAACACGTATACCTTTAGTTAAGATATACCTTTAGAGTCTTCGTAGCGAGCTAAGAGACAACGTTATCGGGAAACGCAGCCCTGTACAGCTGCAGCTAACGTGATGAATGCTGGGGTTGGGGGGAGGGTGTGTGTCTGAACTAAATCAGCATCTTAAATGTATTTTAATACAAATTACATTTGGTTTTTGTATTTTATATTTCAAATATGTATTTTAAATACATGTATCTGAAATAGGCCTACTGCCCATCCCTGCCTCTGTCCTACAGTCTTGCGACCAAAGATAGCCTACGATCATTTTCTGACAATGAAATTCAGCATGATCATCGCACAGTGTGTTTGCTGCTACGACCCACGTTTACTGACCAGCCAATAAAAATGTGACATGAAATCAACACGACACGGCGCTAAAACATAACACACAGTGTCACACAGTGTGATTTGCAGTGATCTTATAGGATTTCTAAAATCATGTAGTGTTTCATGCAGCGCCTGAAAATAGTCCCCAGCAGGCTCCCTGTGCAAGCAGGTGGTCACGTTGGTTATGTTGACGGAAGTTAGCCTATTTTCAGGCGCTGCGTAATATCATTGCGCCTGCTGCACCCATGGAATGGCAGCAAAGTTCCTTTATTATTACGCCGGAATGATAGTTCCTAGCCATATCGGCCTAGAAAATCGCAACTTTTCATTTTCCGTCGGTCTTAATACACGATGTAACTACAGAAGAGTCAAGTTTTAAATAGGAAAAATATAGAAACTCTTTGGTCATTTTTGAGCGAGATGCTAACGGTCTAATCAGATTCAATGATCTATGCTAAGCTACAGCTAAAAGTGCTACGCCAGACCCAGAGATCGGCTGAATGGATTCGACGTGGAAAAGTAAAAGTACTTTTCCACGTCAAAGACCGTTTTTATAAATATGAACGTTGCCGTGGATTTTAGCGTACGCACACTCTAAGATCAAATCAGTGCGTACGCACATTTTATAATAAATGAGGCCCCAAGTGAGTGTAAAAAATGACCTATAAAAGTAGCGATTCCCACAGACCCATAACGTTCCGCTATACCCAGCCGTCCCTCGGGTCAAACCCTGCCGCTGGCGTTGTACCCAATTAACTAAAATCATGTTGAATTACAGCTATGATCAACTGTGTTTTGCTGAATTCCCATGTTAGATATTTGGCTCTTGTTCTGACAGCATGAGCTGATGAAACGCTGACTCACTAGTGGTACCAAATGGAAATGCTAAATTGATGATTGTTTTCACACAGATTTTTCAAAGTATTAATGCCCTTTCCGCCCTGTCCTGTCTTCCATTGTTTTGACAAAAAGGTTGTCCCATCACAAATACACTCAGATCAGAGCCAAAGTATAGGGCTGAGGGTAGGATAGGATTAGTAGTTATAGAAGCAGAATGGAAGAATGTTATAATGCTTTAAAAATATAAAACAAGATAATGGCTAAACTGAAATACCCTTTGTAGCATTAACGGGGGCTGCAGTGACGTAGTGATGGTGCTTGGCAGAGGGGGTGTTTGGAACAGTGTGTGTGTGTGAGAGCTGAAATGACGTCAGCTCAGCACAAAGACAGTGGTGAGATGAGACTTGTAATCACTGCTTTTTTGAAATATTTTTGAGTCAGCAAGAACTGGTCAAGAATATTTGCATTTGATTTCTATTCACAAAACTACAAATTTTACCATCTTTGGTGGATGCTGCACACTGGTGGTGGATGAGGAGATTCCCTCCTTCTATGTAAAGCGCTTTGAGTGCCCAGAAAAACGCTATATAAATGTAAGGAATTATTAATTATCTTTATATAAAAATATTTTTACTAATTTTTATTTTTAAACTCTTTAAAAATCTACTGTCCTGTTGGCAAATAATCATTTGCACAGCACAGATGCTGTTAGATAAGTACCTGTGTAAAGAGTTCTGAGTTTTTCAGTGCTCTGGGAAGTTTGCCTGCTAACAGATCGGGAGGAATAAAGATCCATCTGTTATATAAGTCCATCATCAGGTTTATTAAAAATTGATGTGTGCATTCTGAAGAATGCTTTTGCTTTAGCCCTTATCAGGATGAAAACCTCACCAAGAAGCTTCTGCATCCTCTCAGCCCTTCAGCCATTTTCACACACTCACTTTCATATGTCATTATTTTTAGTGAGTGATAATCGTAGCTAGTGTGGTTTTCTGTAAATCGTCTCATAGTCACATTAGATTTGTTTTTAAAACAGTAAAACAATTTGTACAGTGTCAAAAAAGACACATTTCCCTGACTATGCAAATATATAAACATTGACTGTCCAATGAATAATATATCCGCCAAACTAAAAATAAATTATAAAAATATAAAGAAGTCTATTTGGTTTACAGAGTTAGGGTTAACTATTGAAATGGCTTGTTTAAGCATTCAAATATGAGTAATTAATTTTTCAAAAAAAATTCAGTAATTTTTCATTAACAATATTTTTGCATACTGCATGGAAGTGAGAAACTCATTTGAGTCCATTTCTGGCACTGAAAACATATGGGAAACTGGCTCTCCATTATAAGGAATATCTAGGTTTAATTGAATATATTTTTAGACCCAGGTAATGAGAGCCATTCATTAAACTAAGCCCACCATTGAAAAGATTTTTTACATTTACCGAACAGTAATGAATGTCGAACTGCTTAATTCATGTTCATATGTCAGGTCGATTTTAGAGACTGAGAAAAATATCAAGTTGAGGACAACAGAACAGGGTGTTAAATTCAAGGTGCTATGTCATGAAATCAATCATACAGAACCTTCAAGGTGAAGTCTCAAGATGAATGATGTCAGTACTGAAAGAGATGGAGTCTTTTTATATTTATAACTTAAAACCGCATGTAATTTTAAAAACCATGTTTGAATCCCAAAGCAGGCTATAAAACACCACTTCAGCCACAGTCCAGAGAGCACACAGATAGTCTTTGCACCGTATATAAACATGTAATAAGATACTTTACGTGCATGGAGATTTTCCTCAATCTATTCCGAATGGCCCCGCCCGGTATTCCTTGTTGTCAGCTGTCATCGTTTTGACAAACATACAAACAGAAAGAAAATCCATCAACCTTTACACTTGGATTGATATTTAAGGCCTCCACAATTCTCTTTGACACCAAGGGTTCTGTCCACCGAATGGAAATCAGTTCGGATCCTACAAGGAGTGGTTCTTTCTCATCCAAACACGCAATACCATCAGAAAAGGGAGTCAAATACTTTGGCTGATTTAACAATCATAGGTAGCATCTAATTTTTAAGTCCTTCATTCCTTTTCCGTCTAATAAAACCATCACAGAGGTTTTCTCAAGGCTGGCCGTGACAAACCTCCAGCCCAGCTGCCCCTCCCTCCCACACTCCCTCCGCAAAGTGTGTTGAAATGAGGCCTGATAAAAAGTCTATGGCGGGTGTGAATAATTCATGAATCATAAATTACAGCGCATGACTCCCAGTAGGGGTAGTTATTTCACACCAGCTGTTTCGTGGCCTCCTCCTGTGCGGAAAATTAAAGCGAGGCAGTATCCTGAACCGTCCGCCGCCCTGACCGAGTCTCAGCACTGTCCACCTCTGCCAGAGCTTTTATCATGACATCTTGTTGACACCAAGGGTTCTGTCCACCGAATGGAAATCAGTTCGGATCCTACAAGGAGTGGTTCTTTCTCATCCAAACACGCAATACCATCAGAAAAGGGAGTCAAATACTTTGGCTGATTTAACAATCATAGGTAGCATCTAATTTTTAAGTCCTTCATTCCTTTTCCGTCTGTCCCATCGGTGAATGTCTGTTTGGATTGTTGCAGATGGTTTGTCTGGCTTTAGAGGGAAAATGTTCCGGCAACACATATACAGGCAACATAATATGAAATACACTTAATTCTAACCAACGGCCTTGTCTCTCAGTGATCCACAACTGTAGTGACTACATGGATTCTTCTTGAGCAGTTCTGTTTCATTTTGTACACACTTTTCAGCTTAGTAAAGTTCTGGTGTGCTTGGTTATAAATTGTTTTCTTGTTGTTAGTAACAGTATATTGTGTCTTAGGTCAATCTAAGACAGTTTTGTATTTTTCTATTTTTTTTTTCTCAATTACTATACACGGGTGGATCTCCCCTCCCCTTTTGTGTGTGAGTTCAGAGCACAAGATCTGTGGTTGGGTTGTAAGGGGCGGGGAGAAAGTCTGTGAGATCAGACGTAGTACTCCTTGTCCTTGTTCTTTTTATCTTTTTTATTTTTGGGCACGCCAATGGGCTTTTCTTTGACGGCGGCTCCGTTGGGCTGCGTGGCGGAATTACTAATGTAGTTACGGCTCTCATCCACGTGGTACGAGCCCTCGTCGCGATTTCGGTATTTGTACATGGCGTAGAGCAAGATTAGGATGCAAAGGGCGGCTGCCGCGACGATGCCTACGACCATGCCCGTGGTGCTGCTGGACTCCCGAATCACTTCCGGGCTGGGGTAACCCTTGGCCTCAGGCAGTGGAGGGTGAGCTGTGGACACACAGGAAAGGAAAAGAGAAAGAGACCGTTCATTACAATCACAGGCCTATTCATTTAACTCTATTATTACAGAGCTTTCTAGAACACTTGATTCAGATTGGTTACTTGGGGCTTTCAGTTGGCAGTTCACTTTTTCAGCTATTTCCTAATATGCACCATCATTCATGGCAATGCTAAATATTAGTCAGGTCAATTGGGTAACCGAAACCCCCGCATGACTCGACCTTCCAGTCAGTGTTAATTTCGTTGACGAATAATTTTCGTCAATGAAAATAAACGAGACAAATGTTAAGGAGGGACGATTTATGGGAATAAATCCAGTCAGAACGAATCTCCTGCGTGGTTAAGAGGTTAGATGCAAACATTTGAACTGTAACAGCCTATTGATCTATCCGGCGGGACATAAGCTAGCATACACTTGCTGCATGTCCCATAAAAAGTAAAAAAATGTCAATATCTGGGAGTAAGAGAAGAGCAGACACGTGGATAAATTTAAAAAGCATGACGACGCTAAACAAAAGTCAATTCGGTCCGGTTTTCTAAACGCACACACCTGAATCACGCACACAGAAAACCGCCTCTCACACAGCGCACGAGTACTGAATTCAGCTCTCTTTCGCGTCACGTGAACGGAGAAATACACACAAAATGATGTCGAATTGTACGTTTTGATGAGTATTCACGTAAACACACTCGTTTACATCTTGGGAGAATACCGGATGTGTAAAAAAAGAAAAAAAGAATATCGGATGTGTATCAGTATAAAGCACCCATGCATTCGGTTTTAAAGGGACAGCAGCCTAATTTAGTTGCTGTTGTCTTGTCATTAATGTTAATCAAGCAACAAAAGAAAGAGAGAAAATCACTCACTGCTCTTGACTGAATCACTTTAGTAACCCTAATAAGGATTAATTTAAATTTATTTATATAAATAAATATGTCTGCTTGAAAGAATGAAGTTGTTATAAAGAATGCATATTATATAACCATTGGTATTTCATTAAAAGGAGGACCATGTTCTTGTTTCTTTATGAAAAGTGGTTTTATTTAATTTTAATATAAAGGCATGTTGTGTGTCATAGCAGTTAAATCTGTGTCTATGTTGCATGATGAAACCTTAATATCAAACCTATATGAGTTTGGAAATTTTAGAGAAATACTTAATAAATGCATTACACTGTAACTAAACCCATTCGATTTTAGCCGACTAAATCTACAGACTTTAGTAGAGTTCCAACCCTGCTCCAACACACCTGTCTGTAATTATCAAGTAACCATGAACACCTTGATTAGCTGGTTCAGGTGTGTTTGATTGGGGTTGGAACTAAAATCTCCTATTGGTTCCCAACCCCTGTTCCTGGAGTAATGCCGAGTTCACACTGCACGATTTTCAAAGTCGTCGGGTCACCGTGGTTTTCACACTGCGTGACTATCTGAGGTAGCAGTCAGTCGCTGCTGTGTTCACATTGCACGATGGATCGGCGACAGGAGGTTTTCCCTCAGATCGCGTCTTTGATAATTCACACTGCGTGATTGTCACTCGTGTGAACGAGCACTGATTTGCCTCCGATTTCGGGCATTTGTCGGCGATTTCGCAAAACCTGTCGGCAAGTGAAAAATCGGGCTAAAATCGTGCAGTGTGAACTCGGCATAACCCAACAGTACACAGTTTGGACATCTCTCATCCATTTCAGGTCTTGATGTCTCTACTAACGAGGTGTTAGTAGAGATTCAGGTGAGTTTGATTAGGGAAACATACAAAATGTGCCGAGTTGGGGATACTCCAGGACCAGGGTTGGGAACCTTGTACACTTTCAAAAGACAGTAACTAGTAATATATAATGTATTACATTTTGGAAGTAACTTGCCCAACACTGATCACAATACTGGAGAAATTATCCATTTCTACTTCTGTTTCATTGCGATATTAGAACTATAATATTGCTGGAGTGCTTATCTTGTTGCTAAGCCATTTGTTTTGTACTCTAACACTTTTTATTTTCCTTATTTTTAAGATAACACTCAGGTAAAATTATAACTTCAACACACATCAATATTTCATGTCCACGTATTTACTATATTTATATGGTTAGAAGCCATTTAATTAACTCCATGTTGGAGTCGTCCATCACCCTGTCATGATTTAATTTGCTATAATGACCAGCTGACTGCATATTACCCCTTTCTTAAAAACCTTAAACTATCTAACTAATTGTTCTTATTGATTATGAAAGTTCATTTACTATTATTCATTATTTTAATGTTAACATCGCAGCTTCTTTCACACCAGTAACAATATTATTCAGTTCTGAGCGGACGTGAAATACTAAGAGGAATGAAGCTAGAAGAAACTTGAAAGAAACCCAAAAATCAATATTTCTTTGCCAAATTGATTTCTCTCCTGATGAGATTAGATATCCCACTGAGAAACTGCTTCACGGCACCTTACAGTCACTTGAGTAAATAGGATATGAACCACAAAAATGACACTCAACCTTGCGATATATGTATAGAATGTGCCGCCACTGAACGGACAAACTTGTAGTGTAAGCTTGTGCTAACACACTTTGCTTATCAAACGGTCACAAGACACATCTGGTTAACACAGAGCGATCAGAATGGATATGTTGCACATTTCCCATGAGTCGTGACCATTGAGTGAACCTCACATCATGGCTATTTATTCCTGGCACAGAGAGTAGCGTGGTGGGTAGAATAGTGTGGTATAGTTTCTTCTGATTTATGTCTCTTGGAGAGGGGAGAGTAACTGCGAGACAGTGCAGCTGCAGGCTGTGCACAAATGCTTGACAAAACAACACCTGTGACAAAGCCGTTTACAGCTTAGGCCCGATCCACTGCAACCCGCAGGTGCAGGAAATGAGATGATGACAAAGTACAGCAGGGAATTATGAATGGCGACCTCTGCTCAAACATCTGTTTTTAGAAATGTTGTGTGGAAGGAGGACACTTTGGGGATCCGTAACATCATTTATCTGAGACCTTCTGAGCTTTGGCCAACATTTTATGTTTCTGCTTTTTTTTGTGCTTATTATCAAGATCATTTGTATGATTTATTAGCATGTTTTTCCATTATGTCATGGACATGCTTTCATTGCCCTATGTATAATATGACTGCTGCATGGGCCACTAGCAGCTGTAACTAAGCCAGCTGAAGGAACCCAGATTGGGTTAACCTTTGTGCTTCATTTTTCATGTCGAAAGTGGTTTGCGCAGTCGACTGAGTAACCAGGATGCGCCCGCTGCGTGGAGAAATGAGAAACGCAATATGTGCTACGCTAGCATGTTCTCTGGCCTTTTCTGAATTTATACCTCAACAAAATTCGCCAGGTCTCTTTAACCTGCACACAATCAATGAGAAAGAATAGGGATTAGGGGTAAAACTGTAAGAAAATATAGACTTTAGCATAAGATATATTTAACTGTGCATAAAACTGGCAAAAATGAAATACGTGAGCTGAAATTCTACAGAAGCACAAAGAAATTTGATGACAGGCACAAGTTTATGTTTGTTTAATATAATGACCTATTTAAAAACTCATCTAAGCAATGAGCTCCCTCTGTGCCAAAAAGAAAATTAAAATACTATATTTACAGCACATAAAGAGGGTAAAGGATTTAATGTGGTTTAATGAGGTATTAATGTCTGTTTAAAGAGGCAAAGGCAGATTATACAAACATATATTTCAGCGCACACTGGATATTTTGATAAATGAGCACATAAGCAACAACGCAGCTCAGGTAACAGCGCGTCCTAACTGGCAACAAAACGATAAAAGCTTTTTCGAGTTAATCTGAGCTCCTGTTTAAACTAGCTGCGACAAGCAGTGAATGCCGCTACATTTTCTATTTCTGCACAGTAGCTTCTGATTATTAAACATCAAACATAGATGAGCCTAGGAAAGGTTGTTTTTGGAAGCTGAGAAACATCGGATATGACAAATCCCTCAAGATCCACAAGGAACACCACAAAATGGATGCCGCCTCATGGGAGTGCTGAAAATACAAATGGTGTTCTAGGTTTTACGCTCTTCACTTCGCCCTCGCTGTTATGATTGGCTGTTTTGTTGCGTTGAATTTTCGCATTCAGTGTGGACAGGAAAATGACTTCTCGCTGGAATCTCGTCGCGCTTGACACAACGGACACATTATTTCTCAGATTGTTTTTAATTTTTCTGCTGTACAATGTGTCCACTTGGCTGAATTTTTGAGAAATGATGCCATTTGGTATTTTAACACTATTTTTGTACTCATGAAAAAGTGTATTTGGTAAAATGTCAAATCTAAGGATTGTTTCACCCCCAGATTATAGTGAGAAAATGGACTTGTGTTCTTTTAACTTATACTATAGTCAAATAATCTTTCACAGAGTGGTTTCAAACAGAATGACGGAAAAATGGTGAATAATTTTGGAGGAAAAAAACACATATGGACGGTAATAATATAAAAGAAAGATGACTAACCTAACCCACCTGAACTTGGGTCGCAAGGGTCAATGTCCTCATCGTCGCTGGGACATTCTGCCGACGCTACCAGAAGATCATCCTGTACCAGAGAGACACAGAAGAGATGAAGGGTTAATTAAAACACCTAGCGGCATCATTACAGTTTTATAGGGTTGCTGTGTCATCTAAGGCCTCACGCTGTGAAAGAGAGAGAGGAGCGAAATAGGAAATGTCCTTTCCACTGCCACTCTGACATCTCTCACAGGTCCTCTGAGCTTTGACTCACAGGCGCGATCAAAGTTGTCCAAACCGTCAAAGGTCACAACATTTCTGCAAAAACAACTGTTTCTGTGGATTTAACACACCAGATCACCTTATAGTACAGTCTGGAGAGACTTCCACATCACGGCAGTTGGAAATATCAATCAGAGCAGCACAAACACACACTCGCACATACACAAAGATTTCACGAATGCAATTTTGCCAGCAGTTGCTTAATAAAGACAGTCACGCAGGAACATGTGGTGCGAGGAGCATCAAATCCCCTCACATCCTTCCATCCCGCTGGAAAACAATCTCATCAAACATGCCTTTTAATCTGAAATGAAACCATAGGAAGCAAATCTAAAGACAAGCCCTATCAATGACAACACACGGCACTGAGACGCGCACAACACCACATACTGAAGGAAATCTTGCCTCTGCTCCAGTGATGGTTCCGAAGGGAAAGAAAGCCATGTTGAGATTTCACGGTTTGAATTCCAAAGATGGTATCCGACTGCGGTTTAATAGCTCAGAACGTCTCTCCGTGCAGGAATTCTCCATCAACTATGCAAAAAGGCAGCGAGCTCGATGTTCCTCTTAGTGCTACGGCAGAAAATTACATCTGACGACGTCGCTTTGGTGGCATCCATTTAGTGCCAGTCTTCACACTTCTCTCTCTCTCTCTGCAATTAACCAGAGTGTGTATACATTTGCCAGCTGGCCAAACGTGTACAGGCATGTGTGTTTGTCCCAATAGAAATGCAGGACTGGCTGAGTGTGTGTGCGCAGGGAGGAAAGACATCAATTTGTCTCTCTGAGCTCACACAGTCTGCCCACAGGCTGCGGGGCAATGCCCACGCCAATCAGGACCTTTCACCATCATCACAGCCACGAGGACCACATGAAACAACACGGAAAGAGAAAGAGACTGAGAATAAAGGGAGAGGAAAGTGGGAGTGGGAGGGCACCCTGCACAGTTGTTTTAAAGTGGTTGCTATAACCACATGGTTGCCATTTTCCTTGCAGCGATATCTGTTCAACTCCCAGCTCTCAAACACCCTGCAAGTAGGTCAGTGCGGGTGAATAATTTAGATCACTGACGTTACAGTGCTGGTTTATGTGCTGCTGGAAGGCTGGGAGACATGGAGGTAATGTGTTGCAGCAGGAGTGCACAACAGAGCCCTCACTAAAGGCCGGCAGCGGCATGTGTCTGCCTGACTCTAGAGAGAGAAAGAATAATAACACAGAGGTCCTGGGATCCACGGGCTGATGGGTGAAGTCATCCATACCGCTTCGTCTCTCATTCTGTGAACTGACATGTAATGCATAAAAGACCTCAACTACCATAGACATTGAATTAAAGGGATACTCCACCCCAAAATGAAAATTTTGTCATTAGTCACTTACCCCATGTCGTTCCAAACCCCTAAAAGCTTTGTTCGTCTTCGGAACACAATTTAAGATATTTTGGATGAAAACCGGGAGGCTTGTGACTGTCCGATTGTCTGCCAAGTAAATTACACTGTTAAGGTCCAGAAAAGTATGAAAGACATTGTCCGAATAGTCCATCTGCCATCAGTGGTTGAACCGTAACGTTATGAAGCGACGGGAATACTTTTTGTACGCGAAGTTTGACAGTGTAATTTACTTGGCAGTCAATCGGACAGTCACAAGCCACAAGGTTTGTGATTTTAAAATCTGGTTTTAAATTGTGTTCCGAAGACGAACAAAGCTTTTATGGGTTTGGAACGACATGGGGGTAAGTGATTAATGACAAAATTTTCATTTTGGGGTGGAGTATCCCTTTAAGTAGTCAACTGAAATGTGGTTATGCTTCTGATAAAAGGCATGGGGGAAAGGTACACAGTCTTAATAATGTATAGGCTTAAGCATGACAGACAACTTAGACACAATGTTCCCTCTCTTGACATGACCACAGAGAGAAAGGAAGGAGTTCTAGAATGGTGAAGAAGGAGAGTGATGAGGTGTTGTGTAGCGGTTAAAGATGTCAGCAGGAAAGTGAAAGCACAAGTGGAGATCCATGAGGTATCACACCATTGTGCCGGAACAGCCATCCTAAGTTGTAAGTAGAGCTTGGCAACGTATATTGAATTTTCACAACATATTCTGCTGTTCAAAAGTTTGGGGTTGGAAAGATTATTAAAAATATTTTTGAAAGAGAGAAGACGGCACTCAGTTCACCTGTGAACGCAGAGGGGAAACCAGCTGTGCCCTAATGAGAAAGGAGTTACACCTCAACACACACGCTCTCACAAAACACACACTTTTCAAGCTCCACCTCCATTCAGCCCATTCCAATTACCTCTTAGCTGCGAGACTGATCTACAGAGACACAAACTAAAAGTAGGACCTGACTGAGCCAACTGTACATGCCCTGGATAAGACAGGAGCAGGAAGTGGGTGGATCTGACCCACTGATCCCTCTAGCCTAAACCTTTTTACCTCGTATAAGTAAGTTTTATGTTATTATCTCAAGTAAGTGCATCATATATTGTCTAGCAGTTCCAGCCAACTGCTCAGTAACACTATTTTCTGCTCGTATTCGGGCTCTTACTCTTAATTTTGTAGTCTGTAAGTACTGACCCTCAAAACCCTCTTAACGGTTCCATCAATTTCCATCTAAAATATATCACATATCTCAAATTCTTGTTCTGTAATCATTTGCACTAAAAAAAACAATATAAATTTTACAGCCCATCTGAGATGGCCAGGCTCAGACGCTCACATTCACCTCTATCTCTCCATCTCTTTCAGTCATGAAGATGCTAGAATTCCACCACGAATACGAATATCTCAGAACAGTGCACCGTCTGTTGTTGTTGCCATGGTGACATGAAGATTCAGCCTGTTCAAAATGATAGGAAATAAAAACCGAATCGCCTTGGTGGCTCAGCTGGGACCTGCAAAGCAAACCATTGATTTCTCGCTACCTGTTTTTCCTTTTTCTTTCTCTCCATATTCCTTTCCTCCAGCCAGTGTGAGAGAAAGTACAAGAACATCAAAGTCTGCCAGCTAACTTAGCAGCACCGCTAATGAAGTGTGAATATTCATAGAGAGGTCCTGGTGCTAAATGCAGCCTCAGTTCGCTGAGAGCTGTGTGTTTAAAATACAGAGAGCTCATACAATGAATAAAAAAATGGCCACTGAAGCACTGCAGTATTCTCTAAAAAGAACAGTTGAAAAAAAGAAGAAAAAAAAATGCAGGAAACACAATGGAGATACACTTGCTTGTATAATGCCAGCATGTACAGGAATATATAGAGCTGGCCCACAGGGCCTCCATATATGCGCTCACTGACATCCTGTATGTGAGATTCAACTTGTGAAAGATTCAAAAGAGCTAAAAAAAAAACCCCACACACACTCAGTTTCCCATCTCCTAATGCCGTACAGAGATGAATAATAGAGAATATGGAACTTTCATAGAAGATGGAAATTAAGATTTCTTCCTGTGCAGGTCTTCACAAATAAAATCAAGAATAATTCTCATTTAGAAATTAGATTATTTCAGCACATTCAAAAGCTTTACAATACCTTGGTTATTTATGACACCTAATTAAAACTCTCTTATTAAAGGCGACATAAAATCAAAATTAACCCATTTAATTTTTAAATTCATGTTTCTGCTTGCATTGTGAATGATACATTGGTGCATTCTATTCCAAAGAAAGCAGTTTTTGTCTTCATAGATATTAATTGAATGTTGGATAATGTTAACCATTAGCCAAATAGTCGTTTTTATTGAGCAAAACTCACTAAAAGCATTCAGTCTGGCTTCTTTTCTGGTTTGTAACGTTAACTTTTTGTTGTCCAATCGATTCCAGAAGGATAAAATCTAGTTCAGTCCTATTTTTTTCCTGCTTAGTTTCAAGTTTCACTAAGAAATATGAAAAATTGCTTAAGTAAAATAGGTTGCAAATGGCAAATCAAATTGACTTGAGTAAATGAAAAGGCTTTTAAGAAATTGTCAATTTTTTTTCTTTAAGTTAAATACAATTAAGGTCTTCTATATTATCTACAAGCATATAACATTTAAAAAATAAACAAACATACAAAAAACAGGCAAATGCATCAAGACTGACCATGAAAGTACTCAAACAACTCTTGACTCACTCTGAGAAGACATATGAGTCACAAGTAGCCATTACAAGTAACTCCCAGAGGTCATCCAAGTGGGCATAAATAAATCTGATCATACACGCTGCCCACAGACAGATCATGCTGTTACAGACTGAAGCTCTAAATTTTATACAGAGAGAGAGAGAGAGAGAGAGAGAGAGAGAGGGCAACCTACAGACTTCGCACAACACAATTTACACACTTGTTCACAGCGCACTGGGTTAAACTTTACTGGAGGACAGCACTTGATCTTCACACACTTTTAATGAGGGGCAGAATAAAATGAGATGCAGATCAAAAAAGGACGGCACAAATGACAGCGTAAGTAGGCGGTCGAGACGACAGAAGGAAGCGTCTAGTTAAGGATGAGAAGAATTGTGCATGCCACGAATGACTCTGGAAACGCAAATTCGCTGCAACAGATGTGGACATCGGTGACTAACGATGCCAACCCCATGCACGCTCCCAAAAGCACTGCAACTTTTCCTTCTTTTCCCTTAACTCCCTCCCTGCTGCCCCAATTCTCTCTGCCCCCCTCTCTTTGAGAAGACATATGAGTCACAAGTAGCCATTACAAGTAACTCCCAGAGGTCATCCAAGTGGGCATAAATAAATCTGATCATACACGCTGCCCACAGACAGATCATGCTGTTACAGACTGAAGCTCTAAATTTTATACAGAGAGAGAGAGAGAGAGAGAGAGAGAGAGAGGGCAACCTACAGACTTCGCACAACACAATTTACACACTTGTTCACAGCGCACTGGGTTAAACTTTACTGGAGGACAGCACTTGATCTTCACACACTTTTAATGAGGGGCAGAATAAAATGAGATGCAGATCAAAAAAGGACGGCACAAATGACAGCGTAAGTAGGCGGTCGAGACGACAGAAGGAAGCGTCTAGTTAAGGATGAGAAGAATTGTGCATGCCACGAATGACTCTGGAAACGCAAATTCGCTGCAACAGATGTGGACATCGGTGACTAACGATGCCAACCCCATGCACGCTCACAAAAGCACTGCAACTTTTCCTTCTTTTCCCTTAACTCCCTCCCTGCTGCCCCAATTCTCTCTGCCCCCCTCTCTCTCTCTTGCTTGCTCTATGTGCAGAGCGCTGCAGACAAATGGTGCATGCCTCTTTCACTGCATGGATATGACAACATCAAAGACTCTGCATGCGATGATGGCTGGATGGAGAAGGACCGTGAGAAAGAGCGACTACCTGGGATGAGGAACAATGCCACCTCGCATCCATGATGGCAGCCTGGCTACACTGTCTGCTTCCTCTACACAGCTTTGCTTTTCTGTTTAGGTGAGAGTTTGTCCTCTCCCCCTCTCTGATTTCCCCGTCCCTGCTCCTAGAGCAATAAAAAAAGCCCCACACCAGTAAAATAAAGTCCGCTCTGTCAGATCAAAAGTGATGACTGGAGAAGTCCTACTTTGGTAAGCAGATAGGGATGATAAATTGTCTGTGCATCAGAAGAGACTATGAGTGCCTTCTACAGACTAGAAGAGAGAGAGAGAGAGGGAGGGAAGGCGTAAGCGAGGGAGAAGAGAAAACGAGAAAGATACACATGGATAGAGGCGGGAGAGAGAGAGGGAAAATACGGCACGACTGCAAGCTGATCACCTGACTC